ATATGCTAAACAATTCTCAAATTCAACAATAATGAATCCAAATAGTTAAATTTGAAAATCTTAAAAAAAAAAATTGCAGAAATTTAAATTTCACATAACATCATGGAAGATCCATAACAATAACCAAAAAATACTAAATTATTGCAATTTTTCAAAGATTTCAACAATGGATGGCTCTGATACCACTTGTTGCATAAATTGAAATGAACCATATTCATAAAATCCTTTCATAAAATCATAAATTCCATGTTGATATCAAAGAGACAATAAAAAAAAAACGTAAACATACCTTGATCCATGAATCTTACTGCTTTAATTGGGTTTTGATCTTCCAATTGATACGTGATTTTCCTTCCTTTTGATTTTTTTCTTGAAAAGTCTCTGTTGATGGGGATGCAGAGATTCGATAAAAAAATCAAGTTCAAATTGGGGACCATAACCATTTTTAAAATAACTGCTATTAGCAGTTATTAACTTTAAGTTATTTCAAATCGGCCCCTCATCAATTCAAAATAACATCTTCTGGTCTCCACACTTTAATCCCATAAAATTTAATACCCATTAGTCCAAAATTAAATCCAATGGATCACTTTATCGACTATATTTACTTTAAAATAGCACCACACATTCTAATAAATGTACATGTGTGGCCCCAAAGTTGGAATTTTTTCCAACATATAAATGTAGGTTCTTATGCAAGTATATCCTGGTTATAATTGTCCAGTATTATCCAATCTTTCTTATCAAAATGCTACTTTTGCAAGTTCTTCGTTTACCTCAAGACAATACGCAAACTTATTTGTTTAGTAATTTGCTTCATAGACTTATTGGGACATTTTGGTTTTAGAATTTGGGCAGTGCCATTAGCTAAAGATTCAACAAAGTCAACAACGTTCGCTGATGAAAAGCTTGAGTTAGTTGCAGAAAGTTGTGTTCCAACAACAGTGAGTACTGGGAATTACTTGTATCTAAATTTTATCTTCACTATTACATATGAAAAAACATAATGTAGCATAGAAGTTCATTGCAAGTTATCATTATTATTTTCATTTTGTCTGAAGGATGTAAAAGGCGAGTCCAAGAATCTAGGAGAAGATTCAGAGACTCGTCATGCTATGCAGTAAGTCCCTTGTATTAGAGATGGATATGTTTTAGATGAATTGCAGAGTTCACGGCTGGATACGAAGTGCAGGACACTGGATAAAACTATTTCAAATTTGGAAATGGAACTGGCTGAAGCAAGGGCCATACAAGATTCCTTGCTCAGTGGTTCCCCATATCAGAAGACCTTAAGATTCTTGAATTGATGAAGAAACGAAAATACTTGATGGTAGTAGGCATAAACACTGCTTTTAGTAGCAGGAAGAGAAGAGACTCGGTTCGTACTAATTGGATGGCTCAAGGTGCAGTTGTTTATGTTTCTTCAACAATTTCAATTTTTTCTGTTGATGATATTAAATTCATGGAAATATTCTAATTTGTTCGGCAATCAGGTGATAAACACAGGAGGCTTGAGGAAGAAAGGGGCATTAGTATTCGCTTTGTGGACGAATACGTCTTTATTCTCTATTAACGTGCATTTTAACAAAAGAATAGCGTCTAATTTTCTGTCTTTTTCCTATTTGATTTCTCCCACCTGCCCACCAGTGCAACATCAGATGGCGTTCTTGATAGAGCTATTGCAGCAGAAGACAAAAAACATGTGGACTTTTTGAGACTTGTAGTGTGATTGTCTCATGTCGCTCTTTCTATTTTTTCCGTAAGTTACCGGAATAGACGTTCATGGTAACTTAAGAATGCTACATGGGTTCTCGCTCACTAAAGCAATGTTGTTTAGGAACATGTGAGGGGTACCTTGAACTCTCGGCCAAGACGAAGACTTATTTTACTACTGCTGTTGCACTTTGAGATGCAGATTTCTATGTGAAAGTTGATGATGATGTACATGTAAATATGGGTAAAAATGCATGTTGTTATTTGAGAACATTACATTCATTTTGAACATGTTCAGTTAAGCATAAAAAGTTTGCTTACAATTAAAAAACTATACAATTAAATTAATACTTTTCCTTCTGTACTTTCTTTCAAATTTCTCGTGTCTATATTTTGAACGAAACTGCAGCAACTCTAACTAGGCACCTTTCAAAACCAAGGGTGTACATTGGATGCGTGAAATCTAGTCCTGTCCTTGCTCAAAAGTAAGCAACAATTCGTAAAAATAATCTTTAGTTTTTCCCTGGACTTTCATTTTTGGTTCCTCAACAACCATTCATTTTACCATTTCTGCTGTAGAGGTGTAAGATATCATGAACCCGAATACTGGAAATTTGGTACTGGACAAATATATGCTATTTCAAAAGATTTGGCTTCCTATATATCTATGAACGGTGAAGTTTCTTTTTTATTTTTTATATTTTTATTTTTTTCGATACCGTCTGTTTAACTATCCAAGTTTTACTGTATTAGACATGTGCTGCACGAATATGCAAATGAGGATGGGATGTCTTGTTGGTTCATAGGATTGGATGTGGAGCACATTGACGACAGGAGACTATGTCGTGGGACGCCACTTGGTAAGATATTAGCAACTTCTCATCTTCGTGCCCCTACCCCACCCTGCCTATCCCAACTTAAGTTTAGCTCTCGAGAGCAGTCGGTGTTAATAATGCTGATGTGACCACAGATTACGAGTGGAAGGCTCAGGCAGGGAACATTTGTGTTGCTTCCTTTGATTGGAGCTGCAGTGGAATTTGCAATTCTGCCGATAGGATTAAAGAGGTTCATCAATGATTAATGTAGAGAAGGAGAGAGAAGCGAGTTTTATATATTGTTTCAGAGAGTAGTATAATATGTAGTATTCATGTTTAGTACGAAAAGAGAAAGATGGGACGATGGCAAGCTTTGCAAATGTGCTCCATTTTTGGAGAGAAGAAGATTACCATAGCAACCATCTTAGGAAGAAAGTGTAAAGAGAACATTCTTTAGAGTTAAGGATCAGATTGTTGGATAGTTGAGACTGAGTTGAACTCAAAATAAGTGTATTTTTCAGAAAGTGTTGACATATAAAAATTCAACCCAAATCGAACAGCCCAAGGAGTGAAGCCCAATTGGAGGATCCCCAAATCAGATAACCCAAAGAACGAAACCCAATCGAACAAATCAAGATGAAGGCCCAAATGAGGAGGCCCAAGAACGCGGTAACGCCATCGCCCAAGATTGCAAGTCACCCAGAATTTGAGCGAATGGGGTGTCATACAGTCGCCCAGAGCTGTTACTCTATTCTCGCACAAACCTTCAAATCGCCCAAGGTCTTAACAAACACAAAGCGTCGTGCTTATCAAGAAGTGCAGTTATCAAAGCAGTTATTAGAGCAGCCCTATCACGTTCCACGATTCAAGGAATTCAATCGAAAGCGGTTGAACGATGAAGAGTAATGGTAGCAGTTAAAGGAAGCAGTTTTCATGACAAGTTGGCCATTACGAAGAAAGTGGGCAGTTATAGGACGATCAAGCAGTTTTTAGGGCGGTTGATCACAAAGAGATCGTTCATGAAGTATAAAAGGAAGAAAGGACATAGAAGCAGAGGACCGAATCCAAAACTCTCGAACAGAGAACATGTAATTTTCATTTCCTTAGTTTTTAGACTTAAACACTTTCCTTTCAATAACTCGTGTGCTTGCGCCCTTCGGAGGTACGTTGTTTTTCATTTCCAATTGTAAAGTCATCGCCAATAAAAGAACACCCCTTTTTGGGACTTTGTCTCAAGAGGTTTGTCCCTTACACAATCATCTGATCCTTTTTAATTGTTAGCGACTAACCCGTGCGAAACAATTTGGCACGCCTAGTGGGACAGTGGTGTTAGGTGTTGAAAGTACAAAAGGTGAAACAATATGCCTCAGAGATTCGATAAGGAAGCAGCAAGTCAGGGAGGAATCCAGTCTGTGATCGAGCAATATGAGGAGCAGCATGCCTCTCCACGAACAGATGGACAGAATCAGAGCAGTAACAGTCGTTACGAACCAATGACGGAGTTGAGTCCTCGAACCATGCGTGCATTACTTGGAGAACTCACACAGGACGTCGTTGAACAGGTAAATCTTCGAAGTATTCATAATATGGAGAGATTTACTCAAAATGAGAATGCACACTATGACAACATGGCCAAACAACAAAAGACGTTAAACGAAACAATGAATAAGTTAGTAGGCCAAATATGTCAACCGGCTATACCTCTTACAAACCATTTTCAAACTAGGACAATTGTGGGACATAATCCCTCGGTTCTAAATCCGAATCAAGGGGTATAACCGCTTTCTGGTCCCTATACTTCAAACCAAGGGGGTACTACAGTGCCAAATCAAAACAATGGTAGTGGCATACCTAACTTGGGGGGTAATCCAAACGTGAGAGAAAATGTCCTAAACAATGGACAGAATATTCCACGTGGCAATGAGGGAATAGATGTTCAGGCTAATGATAATGGCCATAATCATGGTAATTTTGTTGCCAATCAAGGACCAAATATCAGGCCTCATGCAAATCAACCAGTTAACCAACCTGTAGGAATTCCATATGACCCCAACGTCATGTTGAGGAACCAGATTATGGGAATCGTACAGGATCAGATGGCTTTTGGGGTACGTCCCGTCATTAGGCCGACGTACACAAAGCCATATCCTAATTGGGTAAATCAAGCATATCCATGGCCTAGAGGGTACAAAGTGCCAGAATTCTCACTGTTTACCGGTTTAGGAGAGGTGTCTACTCTAGAACACATAGGGCGATTCACATTGCAAAGTGGTGATGTAACTGATTACCATAAAATGAGACTTTTCCCTAGTTCGTTAACAGGAGTAGCTTTCTCTTGGTTCATCAACTTGCCAGTGAGCTCTGTTCAAACATGGCAACAACTGGAACAGTTGTTTCACGGTCAGTTTTATAAAATCGAGTCTAAAGTCACTTTGGCTGATTTGGCGAATCTACGTCAAATGCCAAACGAATGGATAGAAAGTTTTCTCCAAAGGTTCAAGACGGCAAGAAGCAAGTGTTTTGTACCTCTGCCCGAAAAAGAATTTGTCAAGATCGCTCAGGGCTGCTTGAGCTTTGATTTAAAAAAGACGTTTCAAGACAAGGAATTTCCTGACCTTTTCCAGTTAAATGCGAATGTGATTAGGTATGAACGACTGATAAGAGAGGAAGAACAAATGAAAAATTCTAGTAAAGAGACTTATTACAAAGACCCAAATTTTGACGTTCATACCATCGACGACGAGTTATACGATCAGGCCGAAATGTGTTTG